GAACGAATTCGATCGATTAGCCCCGCCTCGCCTGCGGCTTCTGGCCCTTGGGGATTTCTGTGCACGTTCCGTGTTCTGTCCTCCAAGTCAAGAGTCTGATCGGTCCTCTCTCTGTCACTGTCTCTCTTTCTGTCACTGTCTCTCTTTCTGTCACTGTCTCTCTTTCTCTCTCTTCCTCTCTCTCTCTCTCTGTGTGTGTCTGTCTCTCTCTCTGTCACGGTCTCTCTTTCTGTCTCTCTGTCTCTCTCTCTGTCACTGTCTCTCTGTCACTGTCTCTCTGTCTGTCTGTCTCTCTCGCTCTCTCTCTCTATCTATCTATCTGTGCGTCACTGTCTCTCTTTCTGTCTCTCTCTCCCTCTCTTCTGTCTCTCTGTCACTGTCTCTCTCTTTTTTCTCTTTCTCTCTCTCTCTCTCTCTCGTGGGAGAAAGATAGTCAAGTTGGGTGTTGTGCGTCGTATGCGCTGCGTACCTCTGGCAATCAATTCGCTGTCGGTATGGCGTGGCAAATTTACTTTAGGACCGTACAACTCGGACAGTTGGCGGTGTGAAGGCGTGAATACTTGTCGGCCCACTATGTTTTTATTTTTATTGTTTAAGCACTCCTTTTCGTACAATGCTGATGAAAAATCCACATTCGATGAAGTTGACCCCCCCCCCCCCCTCTCCCATTTTCTCCTTACAACAAAGGGAAAAAAGCCCACTGTATGTGTTTGGTTTTTTAAAAGAAAAATTAACAAACTTACGGCCTCCTACATTCAGTAGGGGTGGACAACAACTATCGAATTGATGCCAAACTTTTTGATACACACTCCTTGGGCGAAGTGGGCGATGCAGTTAGTTAGAGTATGTTATAACTACAACGGTTTGAATATTGGAGCCAGGCTAATTATTCTATTCCATTCTACCTCAGGTTATTGCATGCATCCTCGAGTACAAGTGGCATCAAGTACGTGTAACTTTTGTAACGTCTACTGTCATTGTTAACGACCAAGACAAATTCCTCCATGCGAGATGAATAAAGATTGTCATTGTCATTGTCATTGTGTAGAAGAAAGTCCTGGTGTCAACATAAAAGGAAAAAAATATACATTTATTAATAGATTCAGTTAGATATGTACAGACGGCACAGGTTTTTAACTGCATATTTTGATATCAATACACAGAAAAGGACCTTGCATTAATGATTCTAGATACATGTACATCACATTTCATGTAGATTCTACTGATGTGATGGAAAATGAATGTGAAGAGTTTTTTAGTGTTTAAAAAAAAAGTGAAAAAAACAACGCTTTATACAAGTTTGGTTATTTTGGCTATTTTGTGTTGTCAAAAAAAGGTTTGGTGGGGGTTCGCGTTATTTAAGTTAAATTACAGGCCATGTCATACATGTGGCCTTTTCTAGAAGAAAAAAACCCGACTTCTCTCATCTACCTAACTTTTCTCCCAGGTTAAAAGTGGTATTCACTGGATCTATTGACACCAAATATGATTGGATTTCCATGCTCTTTCTCCCTGACTACATCTACAAAGAGAACTGTACCTCAGAAAGACGAACTTTTAGGAAAGGCTCATAGATCTATAGATCTTATCAGATTGTTACAGGTTACATTTCTAATGTGAACGTTTGACTCTGACTGCAATGATCTGACCAAATTGACATTATTATAACACATGTCATGTATGAAGATGGGACTGGCCATAATGTGTACAATAATGACTGTATAACACCGGGTCAGCTTGTGAACCTACGCAGAGAGAAAACAACAGGAATCAGTAATTCTAATAACAACCCCCCCCCCCCCCCTGTTCTCTCTCTCTCTCTCTCTCTCTCTCTCTCTCTCTCTCTCGCTCGCTCTTTCTCTGTCTGTCTGTCTGTCTGTCTGTCTGTCTGTCTCTCTCTCTTTCTCTCTCTCTCTCTCTCTCTCTCTCTCTCTGGCCGCAGACAAAATTTCTCGCTTTCAACTCAACGCCGGAACGTTTGTTTACACTCGTATCACAGGCCGTTACGCGCAAAGACGAGGTAGATCTAGCGCCCAAGTCTTGTTCGGACGCGAGATAAGGCAACTGAAACATCTTGGTAGCAGTAAGTAGACAATCTTTAATAACATCACTACGCTGCATTTTTATTTTTAGTAACTTTGTCAACGGAATTCCGATGAATGATAATAATTAAATGATAAAGGGTGATAGATTTTGGGGATCTAGTCAACTCGCGAGGGAAACCCCGGAAGACGACTAAAATAGATGGCGGAAAAACAATATATATGGTCTATTACTATTATGGGCCAATCACAGAGTGTGCTAGGTGCTCTCAATAGCTTTATGTCGCTCGGAAGGTCGCGAGGCCGTGTTTACGCTACCTAATACGTGGAGCCCACAACGGATGGCATCGGCCAATCGCCCGACTCGGTCGCCTCAAAAACAGACTTGTTTGTTTTCAGTTTCAAGTGATCGAGTCAGGCGATCGGCCCGATCCACATGTAGTGGGCACTCCGTATAAAACTAAGACTAGGTCTATGTGACCGGCTCCGGGTTCCGGGAGAGCAGAAAATGCTAACCACCCGAGGTCGCAGAAACCCCCGTGTGCCAGTAGCGTCAGGCTACTCGACCGAATTCGGTCGACTAGCCAGATGCTAGCCACCCGAGATCGGGCGAGTAGCACCGGCCTAATGTTTATCAGTCTCCTTGTTCCTCGCACTGACTGTGACTGCCCGTTACCGTATTGGTGTGCTTCTCTTAAATCAAACCAAACTAAAAATGGAAAAGGGGCAACGAACCCCCCTGTGGATGTAAGAACTCGCCACGGACCCTCAGTTGTTTGAGACACTATCAAAGAGTTGGTACAAACAGAGGAATATCACTTCCAAGACATGTTGGAAAGATATAATACGCCAGAATCCTTTTACGAAGAGTAAGACACAGTAGAGGGAAGCCTGAGTAACACGCAGTTTGGATTTAGACAAGGGAATGGATGTACTGAGGCAAATATGTGAGAGAGCTATAGAACACGCCAGAGACCTGGACATAGTATCCGTCGGTCAGGAGAAAACATTTGACTGAGTAGACAGGAGCATGCTAGGGCAGACTTTGAAAGAATATGGAGTGAAATACCCACACCTTAGAAGCATCATAATCACTATACGAAAATAATCTGAGTTGTGTAAGAACTAGCGAGGGAAAACACTGACTGGTTCAAGTGACATCAGGTGTCAGACAAGGCTGTGTTCTATCACAATTATTCTTCATAGTCCACAAGAAACAAAAGGCAGCTGAGAACAACTTAACGAACTGCTCTTCGCCAACGACCGAAGTCTCATACATCAAGACCAAAACAGCGTCCAAAAACAAAATATATCACTAAAATGGAAAAAAAAGCTTGAGAGAAATACAAAATAAAATCACAAATTACAAATGTAATGAAGATCCCAAAAAGCAACCCCCTCATCCCCGCCCCCCCCCCCCCCCCCCCGCCCCCATTAAATATCCAAGTCAACAACACACAACTGAAACAAGACTTAAGAATTGAAATACCTCGAAGCATGTTCACTGCAGACGGGAAAACTGGCAGAGAAACTGAAACGTGAGCACAAAAGGCAAATGCAGTCGAATACCAACTGGCACCCATCCTTTCCCAAAAACACATCCCAAATGGAGATTAAATTAAAAAACAAACAACTAATCAGACCAACCTTTATACCGACTCTCTCTCTCTCTCTCTCTCTCTCTCTCTCTCTCTCTCTCTCTATCTCTCTCTCTCTCTCTTTCTGCTATCAGTGATAAACCTTGACCCTTAACAAAGTGCAGCAAAATAGAACAATAACATGCGAAACGAAAAATGTCTTAGAAAATCACTAAGCATCAAAATAAGAGACATATATAGAAAGACATCGCACCCTCAAGTAGGCATCGAATGGAGCAAAGAAAAATTGAGAAACAACAATAAGATGGTTTGGACATTAATGAGATGGGGGCCACAACAACTAGCATCTAAGATCTACAACAACGGCTTCAAGTCAAGGCAAAAGGAGAGCCGAGACAAAAAATGGATAAACCGAGTCGTAGAGACCATCCAAAAGAAACACATGACGATCCAAACAGCAACACATCTGGCCCATGTTCCAACAATTTCATCTCATCTCAACACATCGAGGGAAAAGAGGACAGAAAAAGTAAAAGTAGAAGGTAAAGATCAGAGTCTAAATTATAATGATATTTTATAATCCACATATTATATAACGCAGCCTAGTAAAAGTAATAGTTTATAGTGGAATATTGTAATAATAACAACACATAAACAGATTATTATGTATTTAGCCCGAAACTTCAAGATCAGGTGAGGAATTGTAAATATGGCATTGATCATCAATCACGCACGATGGATACTGGGTTAAATGAGTTAAGATCGGATTTTATTTCAACAGAAGAAAGAAGGAAATTTAGTTTTCTTATTCAGAAACACGTCACCAACTTCCTGGGAGGGACTCATGCACCCCCCCCCCCCCTGGCCCCCTTTCTCTTTCCTCCCTCTTAGTTCACCAACCCTTGTTAGGTAACCTCTGAGCCATAATGTGAACGTCACGCGCAGTCATAGGAGCTGGGACTTTCGGGCGTGTCTTTCATAAAAAGAGAGATTGCACCCCAGGCTTTTTCACACTAGGCTTATCTGTTCCGTCACAATGTATGTGTGTTTGTGTGCGTGTGGGGTAGGGGGATAATCTCTCTCTCTCTCTCTCTCTCTCTCTCTCTCTCTCTCTCTCTCTCTCTGTATTTGTGGGATTGGAGTGGGGGTAAGGGCGGAAGAGAGGAGTTAAGGGTCACCCCTCCCCCCCCCCCCACCCCCGCCTTCCCTTTTCTGCTGAAATTGCAATTAGTTTTGTGAAGATAAAGTTACAATGGGGCGATATGACAGAGTTTTGTGGAATGAAATATAATATGATATTTCACACCACAAAACCGTTACATATCGTAACCTTTCTTCTGCTGTGACTAATGAACTATTCCCATTTAAGAGTATAAAATGAATCAGTAGGAAAGGGATTAACAGACGACGAAGAGAGAAGTCAATGCAAGTCCAAGTCATATCTTTGTCTACGAACCGAAGCCACGAGGTGAGTATCATTGTACTATCAACCAGAAGAAATCAGACTATCGAGACCAGGGAACAATCAGACTACCGAGACAATGGTTCTAAATGCCAGCACGTGTAAAGGAATGTTTAAAAAATCGTTTTAAGTTGACTAGTAGTGGCTTGTGAGTAAAGTAAAGCTGTTCCCGCATCCGATCCGGACATAGGGGAATGCCTTATTAGTAAGACAACTTCCTGGGCCTTCGCCATAGTGTGGTAGGGTGGCCGGTTCCTTTCCACACCGCCTTTACTTCCCCAACTGGAAGTCAGGTACCCATTACTGCTGGATGGGCACTGGGCAGAAGGGGGCGAAAAAAATCCGTGTCCGAACCGAGGCTCGAACCCGGACTTTCCGCTTCTGAGACGAGCGCACTGACATACTATACTTTTAATGTTATTCCCACTTTTTTACAAATTTGTTGGTTTTCGAATACGTTTTAGATGCTCATGACATGTTGCAGGTATTGTCTTCCTGAGACTGCTCTTAAAATCACAGGTGTCAGGCATGATATTACCTAGACAAACCAGCCTATAATTATAACCAATACACCTACTCCTTACTTCTAGAGCGAACCAACTTATAATGCAATTTTTTTTCTGTACATGCCAAGACTTATGACATTTTTATATTTTGAAATTTCAATAATTCAGTTTTGCCACTCCAAGCGTTGATGGCCTAGTGGTTAGGCTCCCAGACTCGCAACCGTAAGGTCAAGGGTTCGAATCCCGTCAGGAGGCCGACGTTGTGTCCTTGGGAAAGGCACTTTATATGAATTTTCTTCACTTCGCCTAGGTGAGAATGGGTACCCAATCATTGACCGTGAAAGATCTTGTCAGTTTGCTAGTGCTTGAGCGCTTAATCAGCTGCTTGCACTGCAATCTTCCCGGCAAGCTGAGAGTGTTTATGCGGTCTGCTGGGGTAATAATATAATGTAAAGCGCGTAGAGCTTGATGTCGAATGGCGATATGCGCTATACAATAAATGCTATTTATTATTATTATTAATCCTCAGAATATCTCTCACAATGAAGACCATCGCGCTCCTGTTGTGTGTGTCTGTCTTTGCGACAGTCATACTGGCCTCGGAACAGCAGCTTAGGGAAGAGGTGAGGTTATGGAGTGCAGTTTCTCTTGTTTGAGTAACTCACTGAGGACTCACAATGATCGAAGACACGCGCCGTTTTAGGGCAAGACAAATGCGAAACATAATTCCTGTTAAGTAGTCTTTGACCGGGGACCCGACTTCTGTGTCGTTTGAGATTAATGTTTTTGGGTTTTCTTAAAATTGGGTTGTAGTCTTTCGAGGAGGAAAGGGCAGGAGGAGGGGGGCGGGGGTAGTACTTAAGTAAAAGTAATCTTACAAAAATGTGATTGTTAATGTTATGCGACAAAAGATTCAGCAAGGGGTTATGCTACATTTTTTCAGTCACACTTTTATACCGGTGGGCTGTGGTGCTACTTAAGTAAAAGTTGTTATCTTATCCCCAAAAATATGAAAGTTTTGCCACCAAAAACTGCAGCAAGAAATAGTCAATTACTCGATATATTATGTAAGGGCCAGAATACATTTGTTCTTAAACACTTTTTTGGGGGGTGGCGGGGCGTTGCTTTTTATCAGCATAATGGGTTGCATTTAATATATGTGAGGCAGCTTGGTGAAATCAGGCTCTCGTCAAAATAATCAAAGTGAAGAAACCTGCATGTTTCCGCAGGTTTGTGAATTTGTATCAAATTTTTGTTTTTTGACTCAACACCTTTCATGCCCATTAAAGAACTCATTTCTGTGTGGATTTTTCAGGATAAACGTTGATTAAAGGTACAAAAATGTAAATTTTCAGTTACCACAGGCTAAGGAAATAAAAAATTTTGGCGTCCATTTTCTCACTAATTTTACCTCTGAAAACAGGTGACCCCCCACCTCTTTCAATTGCAAATATCTCGACTTGTATTCAAGATAAATTGATACTTTGTTCATCCAAATAAAGACAGGAGAACAAGCTTTAAGATGATACCAATAACTCTACATGCCCAAAAATTGACGAGAGCCTGATTCCACCACGCTGCCTCACACATTTATCTCTCTCTCTCAATATATATATATATATATTATATTATATATAATAATATATATATATATATATTATATTATATAAAATCTATATATTATACATTATACCATACGTGTGTAACAGACAGAGTCAGTGACCTTCATAGACTTGTATTATAATATCTTAGACTGTGAACTCTGATGTAGTTACGGTTCTCCATGGACCTCACAATTTCACTCAAATGAAACCAAATGACAGGCGAGGAAGGAATATCAAAGATCTTACACACAAGATGGTTCACTCCTCTCTTTGAGCCATTCAAAAAAGTGTCCTCAAATCCGGCCGCGTCCTCTTCGAAAAAGCTCCCACTTTGCGAACAGAGTTACTCTACTTGTGTGCAAAAAGAAAATCAAAGTAAAATTCTTTTCTTCTTGTGGAGAAAAACAAGCTTCAAAACAAAGACTGCAGCGTCATCTGAAGCGGGCTACCGCGGACACTCTTTTGGGTGAGTTCACTATCTTCTATATACGATCTTTAGGAATGTTTATGCACGCTTTCAACAATAGCAAGACTGGCGTTTTGTCCTTCATCTGCACATCCGTGGTGATGCGCACCTTACTTTGTGTATTTTTTAGAAGCAAAGGGCTTTAGCTATGACAGTGCACGATCCAGGACTCTAAAATTCCGCTGTAGCCTATATCTCGTGTCTCCTTTATCTCCAGGGGGAGGTAAACAAACGGGGTTGGAAAGACGCGCTTGCTGGAGGGGCCGCTGTTGCGTTATTTGGGAGAAAGAGACACGCACGGGTAAGTCTCATGCTTGCTTATTTTACTTTTTTCTTCCGCTTGTACCGGTGGGTGTCGCGGGGAGACACAGGCGTCTGTCTACAGCAAGGAAGGACATCCTGTGAACTCTTAGGGTATCTGCGACAGACTCGCTCCAACATCGTCTTGATCTTCCTCTGGCTTTCCAGCCAGAACATCTGGTGTTGTATGCCCTTAGAGCTGGATGATTTGAAGGCATCCGTGTGAGGTCTCCGAACCACTCGATCCTATGTTTCTCAATGTGTGGTAGAACTGAAGTCTCATAGAGATTTATTTCACTAAGTTGGATTGTCTTAGCCAGTCCAGATGATCGTGTGATGTGTCCATGCCACTTCAGTTTGCGTCTTTTCACTGAAGCCTGGAGGTATTCATACAGCCTGACGGCGTATCCATTTACTATATTTCTCTCTCTCTCTCTCTCTCTCTCTCTCTCTCTCTCTCTCTCTCTCTCTCTCTCTCTCTCTCTCTCTCTCTCTCTCTCTCTCCCTTTGTCTGTCTGTCTCTCTCTCAATACATATATATATATATATAATATAATATAAAATCTATATATTGTACATTATACCATATGCGTGTAACAGACATAGTCAGTGACCTTCTTAGACTTGTATTATAATATCTTAGACTGTGAACTCTGATGTAGTTACGGTTCTCCATGGACCTCACCATTTCACTCAAATGAAACCAAATGGCAGGCGAGGAAGGAATATCAAAGATCTTACACACAAGATGGTTCACTCCTCTCTTTGAGCCATTTAAAAACGTGTCCTCAAACCCGGCCGCGTCCTCTTCGAAAAAGCTCCCACTTTGCGAACAGAGTTACTCTACTTGTGTGCAAAAAGAAAATCAAAGTGAAATCCTTTTCTTCTTCTGGAGAAAAACGAGCTTCAAAACAAAGACTGCAACGCCATCTGAAGCGGACTACCGCGGACACTCTTTTGGGTGAGTTCACTATCTTCTATCGTCTTTGGGAATGTTTATGCACGCTTTCAACAATAGCAAGACTGGCGTTTTGTCCTTCATCTGCGCATCCGTGGTGATGCGCACCTTACTTTGAATATGTTTAAGAAGCAAAGGGCTTTAGCTATGACATTGCACGATCCAGGACTCTAAAATTCCACTGTACCCTCTATCTCGTGTCTCCTTTATCTCCAGGGGGAAGTAAGCAAACGGGGCTGGAAAGACGTGCTTGCTGGAGGGGCCGCTGTTGCGTTATTTGGCAGAAAGAGACACGCAAGGGTAAGTCTCATACTTGCTTATTTTACTTTTTTCTTCCTCTTGTACCGGTGGGTGTTGGGGGGGGGGGGGGAGACACAGGTGTCTGCCACAGACTCGCTCCAACATCGTTTTGATCTTCCTCTGGCTTTCCAGCCAGAATATCTGGTGTTGTATGCCCTCAGAGCTCGCTGATTTGAAGGCATCCGTTAGTATGTTACTGACGGAGCAAATTCATTATAGGCCAGATACCAGATTACCGTTGGCACATTCAATGTTGGATCACTGAGACTAGCAGGACAAGTTGAAATATAAGACATAGTATGAAGAGATTCTGATACAGATGGGACATTATTGGGCTCTGTGAAGTATGCATACACACACACACACCAAAAAATACTTGCACCCAGAAACTCGACGATCGTGCTAACACATCCTCAACACCTCTGTGATGATAAAGTATTATCTTATCTTATCTTATCTTATCTTTAATCTTCGGCACTTGTAAAACGAACGATTTAACAAATACAGTGAAGCAACAGTCCAAGACACGACATACAAAACAGGCTACAAGTTATCAAATCCATCTACCAACATAAATGTAGCGTAGCACAGACCATGTCCAATGGCAATTGACAGTCCCAAAATACGGGACATATTCCTGACGTTGTCACCGTTGTCAAGACTTTTGGACCCCCCCCCCCCCCTACCCCATAAGTTTCAACAAAATATTATGGAGATGCTCTTTGAAAGTTTATTATCTTCCTGCTATGGAATCTTTAGTAAGCGGGGTTTATTTTGTTTTTGTTTTTTGGCACTCACATCACAATATTAGGTCATAAAAGTGTCGACGATAAGAGGTGTTACTACTAGAAAGTAGCGCACACTAAAAATAAGGAGGAGAGATAAGGACGATAGAGTATGTTTGATAAGAAAGAAGGAGCAAACCACGCCAGAGCACCTGCCTACTCTCTACTACTGCTAATGGGGTTATTCAAATATAATCTTACACCGTTCTATGGACTTTTTGCCCCCTCCCTCCCCCTTCTTACACTTTTCTTACATTTGCCTATTACCCCACCCAAAAATATTTTTTTTAAATCCTGTAATATTACATTGTTCGCTTATTATAATA